ACACTCACTCACAGACACACACACATCCCCCCCTACCTTTGGGGGAGCTGGGTGGATTTTTACCTGGGGTCCAGAGGGGCTCCTGGCTGGGCTGTTTGGGCAGGAAGGCATGCAGGCGGGCGAACAGTTGAGGTTCAGGCGCTGATTTCTGAGCTCTTCCTGCTCAGCTCCCTTGCACGCCGCAGAGTGATGCCGGCGCCCACCTGGACCTCAGCTAGCAGTCTTCCCCGAGGCTAACAAGGCATTTGCCTGGGCATTTGGGGTGGCTTTTTTTTGCCACCTCCCCTTCCCCCCCGGAAAGTGCCGCCCAAGGCAAATGCTGATGAAGAGATAGCGAAAATGAGAACTAGCCAGAGTCCGGTACACAGTAATCAGTCAGACAGGCAAACAAGACAGGAAAGGGTTAAAGATAAACTCAAAGTCAGGAACAAAGCCAAGGTCAATACCAGAACAAACACAATAGATCAAGGAACGTACTGAAGGGTACTGTAACAGAAACCATGATAGGGCAAAGTGGATAGGGCTAGGGAAGTTTAAATAGCCTTTAATTAACATTTGATTGACCCAGGTCATGCCTACACCCCCAAAATGACGTGGGCCAATGGGAACCTGAATCCACTTGTGGCTTCCACTGCAACTTTAAGAGCGTGCTTGCTAGCCTATAAGCAGCCTGTTCGGCCCTCCCTCTATTGATTTCAACCTTGCCAAACTTGGTAGCTCTGTTAATATTTTCTGGCAGTGAAGTAAGTGTTTGTATTGCTAAATATTTTGTTACAGTGATGCATGCGATATTACCTAATCAGATACAAACAGAAAGAGAAAGGTCACGGTCTAATGGAAAAAATACTCTCTCGATATTATCTAAAATAACATGAAAATGGCAATTTCTGTATTGTTTGTGAGAGAGAGAATAGTTAGAAATCTTAGTTATAAGCTGTAATATTACGCTATATTGCTTCATAACAATTAAGATGACTCAACAGATAAATTACTGTCACCTCTTGGCTTAATTAATGACTGTAATGCTGTAGTAGTTATGAGTGCAAAAATGTTAAGTTAATACTACCGTCTGTAATCCTATACTTCATCTTTATTAAGCTTCACTCTCACTAATTATAATGACTACGGCTTTTTTTTGGAGACTGGACTCCAGTCCTAAAGCATTGCTGACACGCCTGCTTTCCAGGTTAAATATGTTATGGTGATTAGTGCATTAGTCAATTAAAATGTCTTAGCAAATTCATAAAACTCTTGCTTTATGGAGAAGGGTGTATTTAGAGCATTTTTTTATGACTGGAACTGTTGTTGAAATTGTTGAAGTCTATCCACAAAGGAATGATTTGGAAATGTTTAACTTCTTCGTGCCGCATAACTCCGTCCTCTTAGACATGCCCCCTTTTCACAACATGGAATCTGATTGGAAGGTAAACAGTGTAGCTGTACAGTAAGAAATGAGAGTGAGCTCAGCTGCCAACTTGATTGCATGCCCCCCAAACAATCACTGTCCTCTTATTATCTGTATTTCAAAGCCATCTTAAAGGGCATCTGTCACCTCAAAAATACTAACAATAATCCTTTCATCAAGTATTGAAAGGGAATAGATTTTTTTATTTTTAAAAATGATGTACATGTGCATGGGGAAAATTTTTGGTTCGGCATTCCGAAATTCGTGACTTCGGCAATTCAGCACTTCAACACTTTGGAACTTCGGTACTTAAGCAATTAGGCTCAGAGCACTCTGATTGGTGGGTTTAAGTCATCCAATCAGAGTGCTCTGACAGGTTGGTTTGAAATCCACCAATCAGAGTGCTCTGCCATTTTACACAGTGTGGGAATTTTCCCACACTGTGTAATTGGACTCATAACTCTCTGATTGGTTACTTAATCCAGAGGCTGCTCACTGTTTAATAGACATGCCCCTACTTGCAATATAGCGAGTAGGAGCATAATTTACTAATACTAAGTAATCTTTACTTAGTATTAGTAAATTTGGCTGAAAGACCAATTCAGGTCTTTCAGCCTTTTAGTAGATAGCTCCCTAATACTGTGGGAATTAGGGAGTTATCTACTTATTCATTCCTGTCATTACACTGACTGGCCAAGTAACTTACATTTTATATGAATGTATGTTACTTGATTGTTGTAAGTGTTGCAAACGCTTACAGCTGAATCCTGGCTATGTTTGTATACTTTTTATTTAAAATTGTATACAATGTAACATTCTTCATTCTTCCACTGGGTAAGTATATTAGTACTTAGGTAATACTGTGCTTCGGAACTTCGACACCTCGGAACTTCGGCAACTTCGGAACTTCGGCACTATTACACTTCAGAAATTCGGTAATTTCAGCACTTCGACAACTTGGCACTTCGACAATTCGGCAATTCAGCTATTCGGACATTCGGAATGTCCATATTGTCAAATTCGGCCGAATTTCCATTCGGACCGAAACGAATTGCACATGTCTAGTACTGTATATGTGAAATAGAATGACAAAAAGCTCATCCTTACCTTTAGTATTTGACAGGATCCTTCAGCCAGATATTATACAGGGATAGCACAGTCACCTTGATCACTCTGATATGCATAACATCTCAGCAGTCCTTATTGCTTGAATAGCTAATCTCTCATAGGGAATGAAAATTGTGTGGAACCGTATTGAACGCCTTGGCAACATTCAAGTAGATCACAACCACAGCAACAATCTAATCTATACATGACCTATGTTTCATAAAACCATGTAGATTTTTGCTAATAACAGTGTTCTTCCCAATTAATTCCTTAAAATTATATTTAAATAACCTTTCAATTATTTTCTTTGCAACAGATGTTAAGCTCACAGGTCTATAATTTTTATGCAGAGATTTTGAACCCTTTATACGAATTATGGAACTACATTGGCCTTTCTCCAATCTTCTGGTACAATACCTCAAAGAAAAGAATCCTGAAAGATTTAAAACAAAGGTTAACTTATTTCCACACTTAGCTCCTTCAGTACTCATGGGTGAATACCATCAGGCCCTGAGACTTTGTTTAAATTAACTTTTTTAGTTGCTGTAGCACCTTGTTGTGAGTCATCCAATCACAATTTCTGCAAGTGTTTTTTTTTTTTGCAGCAATCATTTGAATATCTCTTGCCATAGGTTTCTATTTAATATCTAGTAAGGATATATAGTTATTTACATTTTTTCATGATCTTCATTAACTAACACTTACCTACGTACACTTTATTTTTTACTTTTAGAATTTATGTACTTAAACATTTCTTGGGGGTTGGTTTAGCTCTCTCTGGCTCTCACTTTCTTATTTTCTAGTTTAGCCCATCTAATCGCCTTTTTGCGTGCATTGTTGACTTCCTTATATGTTATATAGGATGCCTCTGATTTGTCTGCTGTAAATGCCTTATATGCCCTTTTATTATTTTAAATTTTTTTGGTTTACCTTCCCATTAAGCCACATTAGTTTCAATTTGTTTCTTTTATATTTATTACCCAATGGTAGACACCGAGAAGAGTCAATTTCTAATATTTGTTTGAAGATATTCCATTTATCCTCAGTGTTTTTTTCCTAAAGAGTTTATGCCAGTCAATGAGTTGTAAACTGCCATAATCTTTATTGAAACTTAACTAATTTAAATATAGAAAAACACTGCATGAATTTGAGACCCAACCCTGCCCTTGATGTTTGGCTTGTGCCAAGAGTATCTTTTAGGTATTTTACTATTTAAAATACAATTTCAAATATATAAAACATGGTAATCGCACAAGCATTCCTCTTCTGTTGCCTTTGAAACATTAGTGAAATATCTTCATATACAAAATGCGACATGGCATTTCTATATATAGACTATAATGTTATTTTGATGAGTAGTGAAGATTAGCTGTACCCCACGGTTTATTTTGGTATCGTGCATGGAAAACGTTTTGACATGTTCCTGTAAGTCATGTCATCAGGTCCCCTGTCTGAACCACTGATGGGTTATTGTAGCAATTGCAGCCTATTGATAAATGTTCAAGTGCTAACCTAGTGGGAAATAGGATATCTTTTGACCCCTTTATTACTCTACCTCAAAAATGGGAATTAAAGTGTTACAGTATACAGCAGATCATGAAGTAGTTATGAATTGTTTGCAATCTTTCAATGAAAATGCTTCAGCTAGTTTTATTCAATATATTTTGTATGTATAGAGTAGTAAAATGCAGGACCAAACATTGTTGTACTTATGAAAATCACATTTAAAATTTTAAAATTGCACAACTCAGTATTTATCTTGAAAAACATTGTAACAAGACAATACTCCATAACATGCTGTGATAGAGGCATCCTCATCTCATTTATTGTGGTAGATATACAGGAGTACTGTGTGTGTGTACCGTGTATCAAAAAATAGTATAGATAATAATAAACAAATTAATCCCAATTAAACAAACAGCTTAATATGGGTCATATTTCAAAATCATCCCATTACCTCTGTCCAAACATTCATTTACTTGAAGAATGATACATATATATGTTACTGCTAAAGTGAGAAATCCGTTAATGTGCGCATTACCTAGCTAATCTGCAGATTAACTGATTTGCTCCATTAAGGTGCGGAATCAAGAGTTTTCCGCATTTTACCTAGGTAATGTGCACGTTAACAACTTCCGTATCGTTAAAGTACAAAACTTTCCCTCTCTCCCTCCACTTGCCTCTTGGCGTCGTCGCCTTGGTTTTGCCTGCGTCTTGGCGTCGCCTTGGTTTCGCCGTTTTTTAAAATTTGCGTCGGCTGCCAGTTTTAAAGCAGATAAATTTAACTCCTAGCACAGAATTGGTGGCTGCCAGTTTTAAAGCAGATAAATTTAACTCCTTGGTGGTTGTTTTTATTTCTCATAATTTGCTTCGGCTGCCAGTTTTAAAGCAGATAAATTTAACTCCTAGTGCAGAATTGTTGAATAAAATGAAGAAAAGATTCTTGGCAAACCTCTTTAGTGAAGATTCAAAACATAATAGTGTTTTAATGACAAAACGAAAGTATGATTCCATAATTGAAGATGTAAAGCGAATAAAACTTTCCAAGAAGAAAGAATCATCTCGATATTATCGACTTATTCCAAGGTAATGATGTGTTGACTGTACAAGGCTGTGTAAAACTCATTGCGCCATTGTCAGATGCGCGAGAAAGTGTGAAAAAGTTTGTCCATGCCGAAGAATTGTTTGACATATTGTATTCTACTCATTTGTCAGTTGGCCACAGTGGAAGACACAGAATGATCAAGCAATTAAATACACTTTATAAAAACATAACCCAAGCCCAAATAAAAATGTTTTTAGATTTATGCGAACCTTATCAACAAAAACAAAAAAGTGCGAAAAAAGGGATTGTTGTAAAGCTGATTATTTCATTGCATTTCAGTAGCAGATGTCAGGTGGATCTCATCGATTACCAATCTCAACCAGATGGAAAGTTTAAGTTTCTTCTCGTATACCAAGACCACTTAACAAAATTTGTTGTATTGAAGCCGCTCACATCAAAACGGAGGATGAAGTAGCCTATAACTTGATTGATATTTTTCTCCTTTTTGGCGCTCCAAGTATTTTGCATTCTGATAACGGACGCAAATTTTGTAATAAAATCTTAGAAAGTGTAGCACAGTTGTGGGCAGAAATAAAAATGGTTAATGGCAAACCTAGACACAGCCAAAGTCAAGGAAGTGTAGAACGAGCAAATCAAGACATTGAAAACATGCTCACTACTTGGATGGCTGATAACCAAACTAACAAGTGGAGTGAGGGTGTACGATTTGTACAATTCATGAAGAATCGTGCCTTTCATTCTGCAATTAAAAGAAGTCCATACGAAGCCATATTCGGTTGTCCCGCAAAAGTGGGATTGTCTTCTTCTATTATACCACAAAGTATATTACATTCAATAAATACTGAAGAAGACCTAGAAAAATTAGAAGATTCACAAGAGACTGTGATTATGGGATCACAGTCAAATCTTACTCAAGAGGACATTCCGTTATCCCTTGCTTCTACAGAATCACCTATAGAAAGACAAGAATTTATCGATAGTAATCTTAAACTGCCTTCTACACCGTTGATTGAGGATACAGTTATGAAGAATATTCAGTTACCATGCACCTCCAAGGAATCACCTCTGCATGTTGAAGAAGTCATCACTGAGTTACCCTCATTGTTTGATTATTTCTATTGTAGTTTTTAATTGTTTGATGATTGATTCTATCAACTAACTTGATTCTTTGTTGCTAAAAACTTGATTCTTGTTTGATTGTATTAACTTGATTCATTGTTGATAAATAAATAACATTATGATCTTATTTTCACTTTAACGAGTGCCTAGTAGGTAATGTGCATATTATATAGGTAATTTGCAGATTACCTAGGTAATTTGAGAAATATTTGAGAAATGAAACAATTTTCGGCACTTTAACGGATCACCCTAGTTAATCTGCACATTAACTAGTTAATCTGCAGAATAACTGATTTCTACACTGTAGCGGTAACATATACAAAAAACTATTCAGGTCAGGAGACTATAGGGATTGTATTATAGTTACAGTAAGTGCTAGGATAGGAATCTGATATTAAGGCTTCTGGTGTCATCACAAGTTGAATATCAATACTTGTCCCACAAATAACTGCTATATACATTAAACTAATCACCAGAACGGTGCTAGACCCTCTCTTTTAGTGGAGGAAAAAGAAGAATAGGACATTGTTTCAACATTTAGTAAATTTGTTTAAATATCACATGGTTTAATAGCCCTTTGGCTTAGTCCCTAAATATGCAAAGAAGACAGTAAAACAATAACTGCTAAACATAAAAATGAAGGGAATAAATTCTTAATATGCTCTGTTAGCTTTTCATTTTAGTTATTTAAGTTGCAAAAAAAAACCCAAACACTTCAGTGTTTGTTGATTAAGTAAAAATAACTATCAAACAAAAAAATTACTTTCTCACCGATGATCATATACATGGATATATGGACTGATACCTTCTTCGGTTTGGGCATGAAGTATTTCTCAGGAAAAAAAATTGAAAAGGCTAACATTTAAAACACATGACCAGAGAATTTTGTTCTTGAGTAATTTAAATATGGAGCAATACAGGATTACGGAAGCCTCCAAAAAGTGCCAGATTCCATACAAATTGAAATTCAGACATTTACAAAACTAATCAGATCTCCTTCAGATCAATTTGGAGGTAGATTTACAAGTTTTATAGAAAAGTATATTTGTGCATAACCTTGTTTCCACAAGACATTGTTAAGTTAAAAACCTCATTAGTTTATTTGCCACAATCATATCATATGTTTGGTACTAGTTTAATTTTCTAGACCTGTAAAAAAATTTTTCCTATTTAATGGAAACATTTCTTCATGTTGTGGCACAGAAATGAAAATGCATAGAGACACTTTTAACCTCTGGAATAACACACTACATTCCCCAAACAGCATTTAAATGGTTAATATCTGCTAGTTAGCTCTGAAAAGCCCACCATCCTTGCTCTACATTCTTTCTTAGATACCAAAATGAAGTTTATGAACTGAGTAGAAAATACCTTCCCATGGTTTCTAATTACATTTTTGGAGGAGGGGAATGAAATAAGCTAGTACTATTTATTCATGCTCTGTATTTTTAGATGAAACGTAAGACAGGGACCTGTAACCTAGCACATTCTCTACATAGTGCAAAACACTAATATCATGGGTTTAAAAATGCAAACAAAAAGATTGTGCATGTTTTGTTTCTGGAGAAGCTTAAACGGACTTGTGCTGCACTCTAGCAGTAAGCCGTATCAATGATCCTGGCTTTTTATATTTAGCATCACTTGGCGACCAGATCTCACCATCAGCACCTGCAATCCAAGATAGGATGGGTGAAATCAATGGCTCTGTACAGCTATCCAGATCAACAGATTTCAAGTAGTATTTATTATGCATTAAAAAAAAAATGGTTGTATTTGTTGGTAATACGATTAAATTGGCATTAGGTTCATTCTCACTAAAAAGGACAATGAGCATATTGAGAAAGAAAAAAAAATGGTAAGTAAAAATATGCTTCTGATTTTTTTTTTTTTTATTAAAAGGGACACTCCACAGACCTAAACTTCTTTAGATTCTTGAAATGCTTTATGTATGTAGAGTGCACCCTCTATTTTTAATTTTAAAATAGAAATTGTCACTTTTATAAATTAACTTTGTTAAATCCTCATGGCTGTCTATCAGACAACAGGTCCTGTTACTTCCTGGTTTCCTGGTTTCTTTAGCTCAGTGGAGGAAATCTCAAGAGGTAGCAGCTGCCCAGAGAATCTGCCTTACAATGGCTTCTCACTGCTTTGGGAACTCTGTGAATAGACAGCCACAGAAAGTCAGGGCTGGGGAAGAGGGGGAGAGATTGCAAAGGCTGCAGACAAGAGATCTGCATCATTCACAAACTGTTTTTAGATATAACCCCAAATGACAATGCATGAATGTATCCATTGGGGTATATCTTCTAAATTGTTAAAGAAAATTAAGTGTTCCTTTAACCCCTTAGGGACACATGACATGTGTGACATGTCATGATTCCCTTTTAATCCAGAAGTTTGGTCCTTAAGGGGTTAAAGGACCACTATAGTGCCAGGAAAACATACTCATTTTCCTGGCACTATAGTGCCCTGAGGGTGCCCCCACCATCAGGGACCCCCTCCCGCCCGGCTCTGGAAGGGGGAAAGGGGTTAAATCTTACCTTTTTCCAGCGCTGGGCGGGGAGCTCTCCTCCTCCGATCCTCCTCTTCTCCTCCCCATCGGCTGAATGCGCACGCGCGGCAAGAGCTGCGCGCGCATTCAGCCGGTCGCATAGGAAAGCATTATCAATGCTTTCCTATGGACGCTTGCGTGCTCTCACTGTGATATTCACAGTGAGAAGCACGCAAGCGCCTCTAGCGGCTGTCAATGAGACAGCCGCTAGAGGAAATAGGGGAAGGCTTAACCCATTCATAAACATAGCAGTTTCTCTGAAACTGCTATGTTTATGAAAAAATGGGTTAACCCTAGCTGGACCAGGCACCCAGACCACCTCAATAAGCTGAAGTGGTCTGGGTGCCTAGAGTGGTCATTTAATGTTTGTTATAAAAGTCTGTTTACAGGCACCTGAGCATTACTGTGGAACCTAACTAAATAAAATGTGTGTCATTTCCAAGATGGAGGTGTATTCCTCAATGAAAAAATTGTAAATAAAGGGTTTTTCACTAAACTCTGAATGCTCCAAATCTGAATTAGCAAACATGTTCAAGGACCACGAGATGGCAAAATATGGACATTAATCTCAAGATTTACCATAGTCCGGATTTTGTAACACAGCTTTCTGAATTGGAGACAGAACATCTTAATCTAGAACTGAATAATCAAAACATGCAACCAAGCTGTGAAATTCAATTGGCCGCACTGCAATTTTTGTCTGCATTTTACTTGTATATATGTGTATTTGCATCCATGATTTACCAAAGACATATAAAAGGCAATCACCCGAAACCTGTGCAACCTGTACTTTGTCCTTCCAATAAATATGGTAGCACCTGGGTGTACACATTAAATACCAGATGTGCATTACTCCAATTTTTTCTGCTTTTGTGAAATTCATTACCTAGATAGGGAAGGGTGTCTGTCTACATGCAGGTTTCCTCCAACTATATATACAGACACTGCTTTGCCAAATCTACACACTACCACTATAATACAGCACGTCTACAAAAACATTTAATTAGCATCAGTTTAACAGCTAATTCCACTGGAGAAAGGATTATATTCTTAGACAGGTTCAGTATACCCAAATAGTTAATGCATTTATTTAGTTTGTTAAATTCACATTAATTGTAGTAAATGATTATTTTTACCATTTAATCACAGACTGCTTGTTTTGTTATACAGTAAATATTGTGGATTTTTGTAGGTTTGCATGCAGAAGCAGGTGATTTCATTTTGTGATTTTGTCTTCCACTGGATTTGTACAGAGTGAATCTTGTTGAAATGCTGTGTTTGATAAAAATGTAAATCTTATATTTCTTTTATGATTCACACGTGAGAATTACTAATTTTAAAGCAGACGCCATATGGTACTAAATGATTGTAGTTTGTTATCTGAACCAAATGTGGTCGACCTAGATTACATTTGATCCTTATTCAATAACCCAGGTTCTGCCTTATTATACATTGTTATGTTAGAAAGAGTGAATTTGGCATGTTAACATTAATTATCCCATCATTTTATTTCCTTCTATCTTGTTAATACTCCATGGAAAAGATGAGGAAGACAGTGTAATAATGTTTACACAAACCTATTAACATGTAAAAAAAAAATGCACTCATAAATTAACAAGCAGTTAAAGTGCTGCTTAACGTATATAAAAAGTAACATATTTTAGTCTTAGTTCATATGATCTAGAACAGGGGTAGGCAACCTTTTAGCAGCACTGTGCCGATATAGGATGGTGATGTCCCGTAGAGTACCGGTCCTATTTTTTTAAATTGAGGTGTGTATGCTGCCGTATTCGGCTTGTGTTATTTTTATTGCAGTTGCTTTGTATCATTGTATTTGTGCGTATATAAGCTATTATATTGTATATGTTCATTAGTAGTTTATGGTATTGTGTATGATACATATGAATGTGGGCTGTGTATGAGGGCTGCTTGTGGTATTGTGTGAGGATGGATATGTCACATTGTGTGTTTGGTAGTGTGTGGGGGCTGTTTGGGGTATTGCATGTGAGAGGCTGCATATGGGGTTGTGTGCGTGTATGTGGATTGTTAGCGGGTTACATTTGTGCAGATAGTGTATTTGTTTGTGTGTGGGCTGTCCATATTATTTGTATGAGGGGAGGATTATTCTGCATTTCTGTGTATATCTTGCAGTGTGTGGCTTCCCTAGGTTTCCGGGTACAGGTCAAGGACAGGAGCTGCAACAGCAGCTGCAGGCTGCTCTACTACAGATCCGAGATCACCTCTTCTATGTGCTGCATAAATTGAGGATTGTCCTTCACCACCTTTTCGTATTAGCAGATATCTAACGTTTTCCTGGGACTCCTGATAGGCCTGAGCCTGTTTGGCTCTAGCAGCCTTGAGTGCCGTGCAAAGACACCTCGAGTGCCGTGCATGGCACTAGTACCGTAGGTACTGATCTAGAACCTCTTCCACCGAGCAGGTGAGGGGTTAAGGATAAAAAACATTGGTAGATACCTACTGGCTTCCCTGTGTCACCATTTAATCAGAAGTGGGAAGGGGATACAATTATTTAAATAGGTGGGTATGGGTAATCGAGTGTGGGGGTAAATGCCATTGGTATGAGTGTAGCAATATCCCCTTCCCTTTGGCCTGTGGGATGGGGTTAAATAATTAGCATAGTAACCTATATTAAAATTTGCAGTCAGTTTTCCTCAGTCACCGAGTGTATGTATGTTTTGAGTAAATTGATATTTTATTCACACAGAATTTAAATTTTTTTAAAGTTGTGTCTAATATTTAACAGAAACCATTCACAGATTTAAAGTGTTTATCTTTGTCCTTTATTCGTTGCAGAATCACACAATACGAACGCACTAAAAACATCAGTGTTCCTGATTATTGTAAGGCATTGCGCAAAGAAAAATCTGTACTGCTAAGAATTTACTGAATTCTTCAAAGTTCAAACTGTCACAGGAAAGAGTTACTTTTCATTAACATTCCTCCTCCTTCTGTATGGGGGAGTTACCTCTAATTTATACAATGGCTACCATAGTGGGAGGTAGACCACCTATGGGGATGTCTGAATGATCAATATATTTTATCTTTGTTTGGATTTTTACCAGTAGCTCAAAATGTTCAGAACAGAATCGCTTTGTGCTAAATAGATAATGACTAAAGAAAGAAAGATTTTTTTTAAATGATCACTCTAATTAAAAATAAAAATGACATTGTGCAAATATTTTACATTGGTTCTTTCCTTGATGTTTTTATGTCTCCAGCGGTCATGTTCACTCAATAAAAATTGCATTTCAAATTAATAAATAAATAAATGTAAACAAAAACTTTAAAAATGCAATTAAAGTTACCCGTAATCCATTTATAGGACAGATTCCTTACAGCATCCCAATCTTCCTACTGTGAAATCATCTAGCTTGACAAAAAAGTATTGCGGATATTCATTTAAGCAGCATCCAGCGTCAGCAGACATTGCATGCTAATACTGGCTGTAAAATAGATTTTAATATCTGTTTTATCCCGAAGACCCTAGTGGCTGTCTGTCATACATCAACAGGTGCTATGCCCCAATATCAGCTCATTAAGATGAAATTATTTGGGTGATTAGAGTGTACCTGTAGTAGTGTTAAATTGAACTATAATTACATCAATAACACTACTACAGGTACACCCTAAGCACCCAAATCTTTTCAACTTAATGAGCTGATTTTGGGGGCATAGCACCTATTGATGTATGACAGACAGCCACTAGGGTCTTTGGGATGACTTTTATGTAATTTTCGAATCTGTGAAATAGAACTCCTAGAGCCCACAGTAAGTAACAAATCCCAGAGTTATTGTTCACACCAAGAATGAGGGACATTTTGTGACTCTATTCCATCCAATTCAACACAGTGTTATGAAATGCTTAGCCACATTAATACAACATGAAACTGGGATTTGTTAACTCTATAACTCAAGGTTTTGATTATTTTTAAAGTAAAGTAAACTATAAAAAAAAAACTAAAATCTGAGCCTGCTTGGAGGTAGATGTGATACAATAAAGTGCCTAAATAATGAGCAACTCAATACTTAAAGGGGCACTCTAGTCACCAGAACAACTACAGCTTATTTAATTTGTTCTGGTGAGTAGAATTACCTTTCAGACTTTTTGCTGTAAACACTGTCTTTTCAGAGAAAATGCAGTGTTTACATAACAGCCTATTGATAACTTCACTGGCCACTCCTCAGATGGCTGTTAGAGATCCTTTCTGGGTCATGGCTGCCTAAAATGCATCCAAACATTCAGTATGTCCTCCCTCTGCATGCAGGCACTGAACTTTCCCTATAGAGATTCATTGATTCAATTCATCTCTGTGAGGGGATGCTGATTGGCCAGGGCTGTGTTTGAATCATGCTGGCTCTGCCCCTGATCTGCCTCCTTGTCAGTCTCAGCCAATCCTATGGGGAGGCATTGTGATTGTATCAGGCCACCACTTCTGATTATGTCAGCAGACAGCTTGGTTTTCTGAGGCAAACAGCATGCAGATCTACAGCTTCAAGCTTGAATACAGTAAGATGTTGCTATATTTATGGAGGCATGAGGGGCTCATGGGGACTAGATGGTGTTAACACGATAGGGTCAGGGATACATGTTTGTGTTCCTGACCCTATAGTGATCCTTTAAAGTGGAATACCCTTCTATCCACCATAGATATTAATAATAGAAAATATCTGGTATACAATATATTCCAGGTGGAGCGCTATATAATTTAAAAACTGTACAGGGGTGGAGTTACCCCATTACCTGAGTGTTGCAATAAGCTTGGAAGGTACATGTAAAGAAATAAGAAAACATATATAGTGCACATGGTCTTTTAAATTGGTGATTGATGATAAATAAATAGAATCACTCAAATGGTCCGGAGCCTATGTAATATTGGCTCTGTTAAATGGACCTTGTTGCTCTTAGGGTATAAACACACCACTCGCTCAATGAAGTTACCTCCTAATGGAGATACAAAAAGGAAAAATCGACCAAAGTGTAATATTGTATATTAACAGGTGAAGAATCCTTATGGTAAGTATTGTGCTCACCTTTTCTAGAGCCTTCTGATCCCGGCTCTAGGGGTAATTAGCAGTGTGCCAATTTTCTGGGGTTGGCACCTCCCTCAATAAAGGTTCTGTGAGGCTCGAAGGAATGAAATATAAATGTAATGGTTGCAAATTAAAAAGCACATATAGTGTATATTATAAAATAAAAAAAGAGTAAAAAAGTCCAATGTAAAAGTCCAAGTAGCCATGTGAGTGGTTCTATTTATCACCAATCACAAATTTAAAAGACCATCTGCACTATATATGTTTTCTTGTTTCTTTACATGTACCTTCCAAACTTGTTGCAAAACTCAATTAATAAAGTAAACTATACCTCCTTTCCTATCATAAAGTACAGGGAGTGCAGAATTATTAGGCAAATGAGTATTTTGACCACATAATCCTCTTTATGCAAGTTATCTTACTCCAAGCTGTATAGGCTCGAAAGCCTACTACCAATTAAGCATATTAGGTGATGTGCATCTCTGTAATGAGAAGGGGTGTGGTCTAATGACATCAACACCCTATATCAGGTGTGCATAATTATTAGGCAACTTCCTTTCCTTTGGCAAAATGGGTCAAAAGAAGGACTTGACAGGCTCAGAAAAGTCAAAAATAGTGAGATATCTTGCAGAGGGATGCAGCACTCTTAAAATTGCAAAGCTTCTGAAGCGTGATCATCGAACAATCAAGCGTTTCATTCAAAATAGTCAACAGGGTCGCAAGAAGCGTGTGGAAAAACCAAGGCGCAAAATAACTGCCCATGAACTGAGAAAAGTCAAGCGTGCAGCTGCCACGATGCCACTTGCCACCAGTTTGGCCATATTTCAGAGCTGCAACATCACTGGAGTGCCCAAAAGCACAAGGTGTGCAATACTCAGAGACATGGCCAAGGTAAGAAAGGCTGAAAGACGACCACCACTGAACAAGACACACAAGCTGAAACGTCAAGACTGGGCCAAGAAATATCTCAAGACTGATTTTTCTAAGGTTTTATGGACTGATGAAATGAGAGTGAGTCTTGATGGGCCAGATGGATGGGCCCGTGGCTGGATTGGTAAAGGGCAGAGAGCTCCAGTCCGACTCAGACGCCAGCAAGGTGGAGGTGGAGTACTGGTTTGGGCTGGTATCATCAAAGATGAGCTTGTGGGGCCTTTTCGGGTTGAGGATGGAGTCAAGCTCAACTCCCAGTCCTACTGCCAGTTCCTGGAAGACACCTTCTTCAAGCAGTGGTACAGGAAGAAGTCTGCATCCTTCAAGAAAAACATGATTTTCATGCAGGACAATGCTCCATCACACGCGTCCAAGTACTCCACAGCGTGGCTGGCAAGAAAGGGTATAAAAGAAGGAAATCTAATGACATGGCCTCCTTGTTCACCTGATCTGAACCCCATTGAGAACCTGTGGTCCATCATCAAATGTGAGATTTACAAGGAGGGAAAACAGTACACCTCTCTGAACAGTGTCTGGGAGGCTGTGGTTGCTGCTGCACGCAATGTTGATGGTGAACAGATCAAAACACTGACAGAATCCATGGATGGCAGGCTTTTGAGTGTCCTTGCAAAGAAAGGTGGCTATACTGGTCACTGATTTGTTTTTGTTTTGTTTTTGAATGTCAGAAATGTATATTTGTGAATGTTGAGATGTTATATTGGTTTCACTGGTAATAATAAATAATTGAAATGGGTATATATTTGTTTTTTGTTAAGTTGCCTAATAATTATGCACAGTAATAGTCACCTGCACACACAGATATCCCCCTAACATAGCTAAAACTAAAAACAAACTAAAAACTACTTCCAAAAATATTCAGCTTTGATATTAATGAGTTTTTTTGGGTTCATTGAGAACATGGTTGTTGTTCAATAATAAAATTAATCCTCAAAAATACAACTTGCCTAATAATTCTGCACTCCCTGTAGATGGGATTTATTTGTCTCATAGTTCTATCAGAGTCTGCACCCAGGTTCCTTATGAACCGATATGTGTTTTAATTTCTCTGTGTTTATTTGTGTGTCTGTTGTATATTTAGCATGCCCACTATTCCCAGTCTTCTCTATGTTTCCCACAGGTGACCTGATTTACGTCCTGGATCAGTTCAGGTTCTTATATTATTACCTGCTTATTCGTTTTTGGTTATTTTTAAGATTTGATGCAAAAACTGAGAAACATGAGCACTCGGAGAACAGGCAAAACTTCAGAGAACTCTGAAGTAGCTTGCCTGTTGGTTAGTCCCCACTAATCTCAAATGTTTTTTGCTTTAAGACTTGACAACACCAAAGTATCTTGATGTGGAGGGAAGCTTTACAACTTATGGTCATTAGACGTAACCAAACCTTCACTTTGCTTCATCAATGCCAAATCATATAGTGTAGCCTTATATCCATTGACTTGTGCTTCCCTTCTTTTGAGTGTGTGTATGCTCTGGACTGTTCCAGAGGCCTGTCTGCCTATGTGCTTCTGGGACCTACCTGATTCTGCTCCTCTGGTGGCTGTCCAACTCCTTGTTGGAAATACACTGAAAAAATAGCAACAGACTAACATGATATCAACATACAGTATATTGTATACTAGACAGGACATGTATTCACCACCATTGTTCACCACTCCCTGGGTGCTAGAATTCCGCCCTGAGGTTTGGCATATAAAAGTTGCTGTATAATGTGGGAAAAGAATGCTTCATTACAGTCCCTCTAGACAGATGCATATGGTTAAAAAGTAACCTGCAGGACTGAAAACGGTGCTTTAGGAAAGAGGATGGTTATATGCCAAAATATGAAATCATCATTTAATCCCTTAAGGACTGAGGCAATTGTACACGTTCTGATCAAAACAAAACAAACCCTAGAATTTTAACAATAAGCCCGTTAAACTATAATTCATCTCTTTCATATTAAGTGCACCCACACTTATTATAATGCATTTTGTTCAGGAGAAACATGGCTTTCATTTCCCATCACATATTTATATATTAAACATAATTTAATATGAATAAAATCTAAGACTGTTTGAGAAATTAAGAAATCCTGTGTAACCTGGCAACCAGACCAATCTCAAGAATCAGCCTCCACCTGCCTCTCTCTGCTTTTGCCTGCCTTCTTTCAATTCCCTTCCCAAAATACTTTTCTCATTAAGTGTAATTATACTCTGCCTCTCTCCCCAACCTACATCATAACCCCACCTCACCAAACTTTCACTCTCTGTCTCTGCTCTCTCCATAGCCCCAGTTAATGAGCTCTGCCTTCCTACAATCTACTACTGCTGGGATAGTGAGAAGGGAGATAATTACATTCACTACATTCAAACACCAACACTTCACAAAATTACATCCCTGCACCTCTAGTGACAGTCACTCAGACGGCCCTAAAGGTGCTTCCTGGGTCAGTGCTGCACACACTCTGCATGGAGGCACTTAACACTTCTCATTGAGATGCATAGATTCTATTCATTTCTATGAGGAGATGCTGATTGGCTCAACGCTTGCCCTATAGGCTCCCAATGCTTTCCTACAGGAAAGCATTGGATTGGCTGAGATCATCAATTCTGATGATCTCAGTCATAGAGGTGAAACAGGGCGGAGCCAGCCACGACTGGACCTGCGCAGCGCTGGAATAACAGGAAGTTTAAAGCCTTTTGCTTTTCTAACAAGGGGGCAAGGGACCTAAACTTTTTTTATAGCTATAGTATCAGGAATACATGTTTGTATTCCTGACACTATAGTGGTCCATTAAGTTTCTGTAAAAGATAAAATTAGATAAAAATGTATTTATTATTTGCTGACCAAAAGCTGGGATAGTCTCAGTTCTTGATCCCACTTCTCAGCCCCACCCCTGTTCCTGTTCACAAGAGGTTAGCCAAAAATAAAGCACTATAGTCACCAAAACAACTTCAGCTAAATGAAGCAATGTAGGTGTCTAGATCATAGTCCTGAAGTTTCACTGCTCAATTCTCTGCCATTTAGGAGTTAAATCATTTTGTTTTGGGTTATATAGCCTTAGCCACACCTCCCCTGGCAGTGACTCACACAGCCTGCATAAAAACAAAATAGTTTCATTTTTAATTAGATGTAATTTACTTTAAAAGCTTTTATTTCCTGCTCTGTAAATTGAACTTTAATTACATACCAGAGTCTCCTGCAAGGTCTAACAAGATTTTATCAGAGCAATAGATAAGAAATTTTAAATTAAACAGAATTTGCAATAAAGGAAGTGTAAACATTATATGACTCTTTACAGAAAGTGTTTAAGAAGGCTGTGTAAGTAACATGCAGGGAGGTGTGCCCAGAGCTGCATAGACTTAGTAATTTAACTCCTAGATGGCCGAGAATTGAGCAGTAAAACTGCAGGGGCATGAACTATACACCAAAATGGCTCCATTAAGCTAAAGTCGTATTGGTGACTATAGTGTCCCTTTAATATGTTTATCTAGAAGACAAAGTTAAGTGAACACTGTTGAAAATGCCTATAAAGCAAGTTGAAGCGTAAGGAGACAGCTTTTAAAACAGCTTGTAACACAATTAATAGTCTGTCCCATATAAGGACTGTTCTGTGTCTCTTTGGAAATGACTTGTGCAGGAGATCAAAATAAATATTTAACTACTTTTAAAGAGACAGTGATGGTTCTTATGTACTCCCAATGTTTTCAGGTCATCCTGTTCTTTTAAGCGTATTTAACATTCAGCAACCACTTTTCAACTTGGCTAAGGAGATATTTAGTGCATTGTATTTATTTAAAAAAATAAAAATAATTACACACCACATGTTAAATGTATTAGAGGTAAACTCACCTTTACGACAAACCTTTTCACATGTTCAGGAATTTTCCTCGGCACGGCTTCAGTAAACGTACAGTTTAGATTTGGAGATCACATTATTTTTAAAGGAGTAGATTTGGTCATTATTATACTCTCACTCTGAATGTCATGATCAAAGTGTTTGGGTAAATCCTATAAGACTGTCTCTCTGTGCTGGGGAGAGGGCTCATAAATAAAAGTCTAATAAGAAAAAAAACAAATTTTTTTTGCAAGGGTTATTAATTATTTGAAACGATGACCCTGTTATTATAGCCTTTGACTTCTCATTTAGTTAAGTGGGAAAGGCTATGAAAATATCTCTGACCAGTGAATCACAATCCTAAAATCCTACTACCACTTTCTGTTTTCTCATTTTTTATTGTTTTTCAGTTGAGTACAGTGGAGTACAAGCAGAAACAATGTTACACGAGGAAACAGTGATACGTAAAGTAGTACAATAACAGTCAGTGACTCAAAGTGACGCCACGTCTTGTCATGTAGAGGAATAATTATAGTTGTCTGAGGGAATACTGGTGCACAATGGTACAATATTGTTACATCAACAATGGTTACATTGAGTACTAGTGAACATTATACATTGTTACATAAAATACATGAGGGATTTTAAAAATATAATCACTACACAATGAATAGGCAAAACCAAGTGGCTTTGGTACCATGTTGTTTTATGAATTCAAGTGCACGTGGCAGTACTGTCTAGGTATTGTCCAGTGATATTCTTCAGCAAGGCACCTCTCCTTGGTCTAATTTATTTATGTGTCATTCATTTATTGTCGAAATTGGTGGAGATTTTGTGCAATAAGGCACATCTACAAGGTCCCTCCATGGATTTCCATGCTCTAGCTATTAATGTATTAGCTGTAAGAAGTACATGAAAAAGTAAAATAGAGTCAATTTCATTGAACTCCTCGAGAGTTTTTAAATAAGAGGTCAAGTTCAGGTTTAAGTGTAAAGTTTTGTGGAAAACATTTGAGAAAAGGAAATGCAGGGAAGCAGCGTCTTCAGTAATATAAACTTTATGGAGCCTGATTTCGGCTCCAGATATATGCGCCTGGACGGTACAATCCCAGTCTATGAATGTGTTGATGTGTTGAAAGGCATTTGAGATGAGTTTCTGAATGCTTATGGTTATATGTATTTATGAATGAATGTATAATATAGGTTTCATATCTCCTTTATTTAAGATATTGTAGCTCAGATAAAAGGACTGGGACATACATGCTTTTTCAGAATCTAAAAAAGGTTGTTGGCATGTTTTTATATTCATCTTGTTTGCTTTGTAGGGATTTACGAAAAATTGTTCTTTGGTGAAGTCAAATTTGTATTGGAGTACTTTGAATTGCAGAAGTTTACCAGCTGAGAAAAGCTGATGTACAGAATTACATCCTCCTGCTATCCACATACTAAGGTCAAACATAATTAGCGAAGTGTATACTATAAATCAGGATAGCCTTTGGCCAAGGACCGGTGGAGTATATTACATTTCTGATAGCATCCCAGATTCTTAGTAGTGTTTCAGTGGTGGGTAACATTTTTTTGTACATTAGGTCATTGCCTGTTTAGGTACCCAAAAGAGTTATTTTAACCCCTCTCAGCACACCCAATGGGACTCTATTTCTATCCATTGCGGTAGGGTTACCGCAGCTGCTGCCTGTGACATTAGGACTGTGGACAGCAGAGCTGCTTTATAATGTAACTTTATGTTGGGTAGGCCAAATTCCCCTTCCTGGTCTGCTTAAAAATTTGGTGGTTACACTTATTAAGCATTTGGACCATACAAATTGTACCAACAGTTTTTGTAAGTGTTCTAAATAAGATTTATTTAGGACTATTTGTAGTGTCCAAAAGAGATTCTGAAGTTTTGGTATAAAGGTCAACATAGCCAATATAAATATTTGGTTTCCTATGTTTGTTGTATATTTGCAATTCCTCAAAATTGTAGGGTTTTAGTGATTTTTCGACCCCCTCCATCCCCCCAAAAACGTAAGCAGTTCTCCGATCTAGGAAGCAGTTGGCCTGTAAAATATGTCACAATTTGTTTCTTATATATATACTCCCATTGCTTGCGTCTTGGACACATCTAGCTGGTAATATGAGTTCTGTCCATATCCAGTTATTTTTTCTCAATACGTTTTGTAGGGATATCTGGGGTTGTGATATTGTTAATAATACATCATCTGCTAATAGGTTTGCTTTATATTCTCGGCTACCTATGTGCACCCTATGTATAGAAGTGTTATTCCTGATATTTACCAGTAATGTTTCTAGTGCCATTGCATATAGGAGAGGGGAAAGAGGGCACCCCCATCTTATCCAATTGGTTATCAGAAATGGGTCAGACAGAAACCCAGTGATGAGTACCTAGGTCAATGGTGAACGGTACAGTACCTGTACAGCTGATAAAAAAAAAAAACCTTGTGACATGTCAAATTTAATCATGACCGCCTCCAGAAATTCCCAATGGCGACAGTCGAATGTCTTTTCTGTGTCTAGGCAGAGAACTAATCCGCCACATGTGCAATTTTTTAAGGCTGTATAATATGTCATTGTCTAGTACCTTACAAGTATTTTCAGGGAGGTGGCTGATCCTCAGCTTTGACCTGGAGCTACCTGCCTACCTTAGAGCCCTGTTCCCCCCATTGCAAACCGCCTAGTGATTTGGAAGGTCAAGACCTGGCAATAAAAATGGCTATCATGCTGGATCCTACAGTCACAGGTTTTCTGCACCCAACTAATCATGTGGAAAGGTTCCTCATGGCTTTCAATCCCCTTTGCGAGCAATTCTGAGCGAAGCTTTGTAACCCTCTGGCTTACCCCCACTTCTACTGGCCGAGCCACGCCCTCTCGATGCCTTCCTACTTGTTGACATTGCTTGATCCAGCAATGCTGTGTCTTCTCAGAGGATCACTGTGGATGGGAAGGCATGAGAAACCGCTTCGGCAGCGGATTATTTTACACTACTAACCTGTTGAGATGCAAGTCATTCCATCCAGGGCACAGTATCTCCATCCCGAAAGCATATACATCACTACCAGGCATCCATTATGAAGGGGTCAACACAAAGAGCCTCAGTTACCATCATGGGATGTGTGCAACTGGACTGGCTGGAAGAGCCTTCTTGGGGTGTCTGACAGTGATGGCTGCTGGGACTATCCCCAACTTGGCATCTGCTGAGTGATACTTTACTGAGAGGGTAGTGGATGCATGGAATAGCCTTCCAGCTGAAGTGGTAGAGGTTAACACAGTAAAGGAGTTTAAGCATGCGTGGGATAGGCATAAGGCTATCCTAACTATAAGATAAGACTAGGGACTAATGAAAGTATTTAGAAAATTGGGCAGACTAGATGGGCCGAATGGTTCTTATCTGCCGTCACATTCTATGTTTCTATGTTTCTATTCACAAGCCTTATCTGCAATCTAGAGATTTTTGAGCTACAGATATACCATGTTTTATTATGCTCTAACTATATGGCTGCAATTGTCCATAGTGCTTAACCAGTGGTATCTGCTCTCCATTACTACATATTGTAAGCAGTGCAGTTTAAGTTCATATAATTGCTTCCTTTTCGGTCTATTATTGTTTGTTTCACAAAATTACACTATATTCCTCGTCAGGTTGTGTGACGTTAACATCACGTAGTAATGAGGTGTTAATTTTCCAGGGGTTGCAATGTTTAAGGGCACATTTGTCTTTAAATTCTAATATGACTGTGGCGTGCTCAGACCAGGTTATTTGCTCTATGTCGCATTTTGCAACTTGATTTAAGGTGGACCCCGGCCTGAGGAACCTACTGGGTATGAATTGAGTACTGCCAAGTAATACATATAGGAATGGTCTGTCATGTGCACTACATCATCACTACGGTTGTAGTGGAGCACATTAGGGAGGGTCTTGGACATGTTGAGAGGTCTGTTTTTGGTGAAGGGGCATACAAGCTGATTGTCATCGCCATATTGTGAATAGTGGAAATTCCAGGAGATCTGAACATATATGGGTAGAACTGGAAGTCATACACCGGGAGAAAATTGAATCATTATGTGATATATAAATACGAGGACTTTATTTGTGATGGTAGATGCACCTGAGGAAAACCCCTGCTGTGGTCAAAACGCGTTGTACTTGTTTTATTACCCTCAGTTTTGTTGTGTTTTTATATGGTATGCTAAAGCATATTTTATACTTACCTTGCTGGTTCCTGATCTTCAAAGTAGAATACTGCTGCAACTTGGCTTTTGAAGCCCTACACATCACACCATTCTGAGAATGTTAAAAAACCTACAGAGTTTGGAGCAGACATTAAGGGCTCTTTACTTTGTGAGTGTTTCTTCTACCCTTAATACAGACATTACTCCTTACAGCAGGCTTCCCCAAACTACAGCCCTCCAGATGTTGCTGAACTACAACGCCCAAGATTCTATGAATGAAATTGATAGGCTTGTAGTTCAGCAACATCTGGAGGGCCCCCTTACAGTCTATGCGATGTTGCTTTTATATATTTACTAATAGGTTCTACTCTGTCTCCATTTACTGCTGAGTCACTACTTGTGTTTATACCATTCCAATATTTCTCCAATAAATTGTATGACAATTTAAATACAAAAAGAAAATTTAAAGAAAGTGTACGACCTGCAAGTAAAAAAAAAAGTGAACTTTTCAACACCACCTAACTATACGTTTTGATGAATTATTCACAGAAATAAAAAACAAAACAAAAAAAACAACACATTATAATAAGAATATGGGGCAGCTTTTTCGGTGCAAATATTGAGGCAAAAGTGACTTTAATAAATACAAGAGCCAATCAAATCTGGCTCTGAATAGCTTCGGAAGGCACAGGAACGGTATTCAATTTTATTTTATCTGATCTTGGTTGCATAGCATTTGTATGTTATTTGTGGATTGTCTCTACAAGAACATATCCCAGAAGAGGTGTGATAGAACCTAAAGGCAAGACTAGAGCAGCCTTAATATCAGAGCCAGATTTGCCTCATATCTAAAACAAACATACTGTCCTAAATATTTCTTATTATTAAAGCCTATAGTAGAAGGTATTGTTTTTTTTTAAACATTAAAGTACTTTTGTTTACTGGACCTGCTTCTGCCGGATCTTTGGTCGTTGGTGGGGAGAATACCATCTAAGCGTGTTGGATTGAGCTAACCATACTTTGTTCTTAAGCATGTGAGAGTAGGTTTTTAAATCTTTTTTATTGTGCTTTTACGCTCCATATTTACAGTGTACACTATTGTGGTTATATTAGTTTTTTCCTATATGTGTGGATCCACGGAGAAAGTTTGTCTACACCCATATCCTTGAGTAGGGATCATTCCACTTCATACGCTTATTTGGAGCCATACACACGGCTCCATTACATGTGAGTGCACATTTTATATTTATACCTACCATTGCTCCATAGTCCTAATATACCACACTATACTGCAATTTTTATCTATTTTATTTCTATGAGGATACCTCCCACAACCACGATCAAAAGAAGAATCAGCACTGCACCGTATCCTTAGGAAAGGATCATTCCGCCCATTCGCAAAAGTTGGAGCTATATTGAAGCTCCTAAAAAGTGTGAGTGCACATTTTTTTTTTTACTCATCTTTATATTAACTATAATTTTACATACCCTGTTAGTTTCTTCTGTTTTTTGCTTCCTAGGCACTGCACGTACCTCCTGTTTTACCCAGCTTTTTACCAGACAAGAGAGACTCTGTACTTAATGTTTTGAACTGCCATTTGACTGTAATCATCTGAATTATAGCGGTCTGTTATTCTCTATTTTAGAATTGTTCGCTTTATTTGCATGATTTATACCACAATCCAATGCAAGGTTGCCAATATTCAGAGTTGGATTTGACAGGTAAATAATTTTTTTGTTCGTAGTTTAAAAAAATAAATAAAATTGTTGCAGGTACATATTATAACCAAGTCTTTGAAGATTCATCGTGGGTAATTTCACTGTTCAGTGAGTGGATAATTTCCAGAGTACTTGGCCACCATGTTATGAACAACAATCGAATGAGTCCAAATTTACGAGGCAGCAAATAGAACTCATTCAAAATATGTCATCGTCCGTACCTAGTCAAACAAATCTGCGAACAGCAGGGCTTGACACATTTGCTTTGAATCTTGGCGCCAGCTAAAGTTAGAAGCCAGGTTTTTTTTAAACTTACAAAGCTTTATTTTCAACAACAAAAAACAATTCTTAAAGAGACACTATAGTCACCAGGACACTACAGCTGGATGTACTGGTTCCTAACTTTTTTAGCTGGCGGCTAGATTCAAAGCAAATCAGTCAAGCCCTGCTGTAGGCACTGTATCTGGTTCTTTTCATTTAACTCGCTCTAGTGTCTGGAGTCATCGAATGCCATTATTTTACTCAGCATTAAATACGCTCTGCATGGAGGCACTGAACATTCCCCATGGAGATGCATTAATTCAATGCATTTCTAGGAGATGCCGATTAGCGCAGCATTTTGCAGCACATGCATGATTAGCCATAGTACGAGGACAAGGAAGGCAGGCCCAGACTCGGGGAGGCTGGTATGGCATGGGGAAAAAAGGAAAGTATAAACACCAATCCCAGGTGATCTGGTGGGGAGGCGGCAGCTGGTTACCTAAAACACATACTGACAGACGCGCGCACACACACACTAAGACAGACAAATGCGCACACATTTACAGACACACCCATACACATTATTTTAATGCAATTCTTTTCCAGCCAGCCTTCCTACCTTTGAAAGAGGTGGAGTGGAACAATTTTCCCAGGGGTCCAGTGGGTGGCTGGCTGCACATTTTGTTGGCGGCGAGAGAGCTGTAATCTCTCTGCTCCCTCGCTCCACTTAGTGAGACAAAAAGGTGATTATAAACACCATTCCCAAGTGATCAGAGGGGCTGGTCACCTAAACACACAAACACATTGTTTTAATGCAATTCTATTCCACACAGGTTCCATACTTTTGAAAGAGCTGGAGTGGATAGGTTTTTCCCGATCCAATGGGCAGCCGGCAGCGTTTTGTGGGTGGCGAGGGAGCTGTGATCGCTCTGCTCGCTTGCGCCACTTAGTGAGGCCAGAGTGATGTCATATTCCAGCTCTGACATCACTAAACAGAGGATGAGGGATCAGAGCGATCACAGCTTCCTCGTCGTCAGTCTAAAGAACGTGCAGCCAACCGGCTGTCTGCACCAGAGGAAACGGGCTCACACATCCCAGGCGTCTTGACTAAATTTCTGGCGAGCTGGGATTTGTCGAGTCCTGCCCTACAATGTCCCTTTAATGCCAAATTTGCATTTGCAGCTATGGTTGATTTACTTTCAACCTCTGCATTTGGCTCTTACAATTCCTCTGTGGTTCACAGTATTCACCACCTACCAAATGTAAACTAAACTGTCCATGCAGTTAGGGAACGGTTTGGGACTAGCCCTATTTTTTTTATTTTAAACTTAATTTATTTAATTTTAAATTCTTTATTTTTGTGGGTGCAGCATGATGATAACATCATCATCGCATGTGTTAGGCATTACAATGTAAGAATAACAGATCAAAGTAACAATTTTAAACACATATGGGAGCTACCCAATTTTAATTTTTGAAAGCCTATTCAGCTCTCTCTCACCCAGTCTGGGGGGGGTGTCAATATGCTGGGGGGCAGCATATATATAGGAGTAAGTGCCCATAGGTTTAATAGCAAGATGCTGCATTTAGAATAGACAAAGGGCACATCTGGGTGGGTAATTATCTGTTACGGGGCCTCTGGTAACTGGGCTCAGTGCAAGCTTTGTGCAATTGCTGGGTAGGAAGGCATAGGTCACTTGCTGAGTGTATGGAAAAAGGTTTATAATAAACTGAAAAACTGCCTTGCACACTCAAAATTAGGAGGGAGGGGGAGTAACTTAACTTGGGAAACTAATCAGCAGCTTGCGGAGCCAGTGGGGAATGATTATAAAAACAGTATAGGGAACATTTAGAACTCCTGCTGACTGCAAAAGGGAAAGAAATATGAAACTTGCGCAGCTGCAGCCGTATCAGGTAGGTAGGGCAGTTTTCGGCACAAAGGGGGTAATATCTGTGACAGTCCAAGATGGACAAGCTGTCTCCTGTGCAGTCAGCACTGGTAGGCCAAGTGACTGAAGGATGGCCGGTATTTCAGAGGCGTGTGATAGGTTGTATGTCTTCCCAACCTTGTCCGCCTATAGTCGATGTGGGCCCCACTTGTAGTGGATGGCTTGTTCCCGGAGTAGCTGAGTAACCTGCTGAAAGGACTTTCTCCACAGTATGGTGCGTCTTGAGAAGTCTCTATAGAATGTCAATAGCACCCTTTCAAATGGAACTGTGGAAGAGCCTCTTGTGGCCCCCATAAGAATTCCCCGGCCAGAATCCCGTACAAATTTTATCAGTACCTCACAAGTTCCTTCTTGGGTTATTGTAGTTACCCTGGTGAGTCTGAAGCAAGAGTCAATCTTCACTTGCTTGGCTTGCCGTGGTGTCCGTAATGTGGCTATGAGAGTTCAGCAAAAATGTGTCAGTTCAGTACCAGAGATGGTCTCCGGTACTCCTCAGACTCTCCGGTTTCGTGCCTTTTTCTGATCTTCCATGCTGGCCAGTTGAGCTTGCTGGTAGGCACATTGCTTGCGTAGAGAGCTCAGTGGAGCATTGGTGGCATTTTGCTCTAGTCTGGTGTCCCCCGTATCATCCTCTACCGCTGCAACCTTGTTGGTGAGTGTGGACTTAATGTCCTTCATCAAAGCTGTCGGCCCTGGTGGAGGGTGGAGAGTTACCCAAGTCAAGTGGCCTCTGGGGTGTCTGTCGCGCCCGAGTCAGGTGTTTTAGGCTCGGCATAGATGTCCTTGTCCGAGGACTGCAAGGTATAGGCCTCAGGTGCCATCTTGGGGATTGCAGGCTGTGAGGAGAAAAGCCCTTATATCTCCGGAACCCGATCCCGGATCCGCTTGCTGTTTTTTGGCAAAAGATTCAGGGTTAACGCTCAGAGCTGCAGCAATGCGCGGCTGACTTGCTCGGGCACTGGCTCCGCCCCTCGACTAGCCCTATTTAAAGGGGAACTGTGGGAGGCTGGGATCAGATTTTTTTTGGGGCATTTATATGGATATAGATTTTGCTGTTGGTTTTACTGAATGGTCGCTGAAGAAGTTCTCTGTGGTAAAACAAAATGCATAGGACCTTTGTTTTTTTTTGTTTTTTTAAACAATTATTTTATTGTCAAAGAATGCATTTAAAATTTCAACTGAATCTCATGAGTTTGGTTCTGTCAGGAACGACACAGGGATCCAATACGCAGAATGCAAAATAGGAGAACGTATAGAATGGCCGGATGAACGTAGGAAAGGACAGAATAGTCAGGGACAAGCCGAGGTCAAGGGAGCCAGAAAACACGTACGCGAATAAACGTGCAGAGTCAAAGGGAAGGAGAACACATGAAAAATCAAGCTAGAACCACAACAGGGCAATGATTCATTGTAAAGGAGTCCTTTTTCTAGTTTGATTTTAATTGATGACCATGTCCCCCAAACGTCCGAATTCGAAGGTTTTGGCAGGCCGTCACATCATATTGAAGTATGTGGGACGTATGTGCGCAGGCACTGTGTCATAAAAAGGGGCGGAGCTACCACGGCCGGAGGCTGAACGGCCGAGATGAGGGAATGTGAGGAGTATCCCCATCATGTGGGAGAAGACCCACAGGCTGGATCCCTGCCTGGGTAGTCACCACAAGTACCTTGACAGGTTCCACTTGGATTCTAGTGTCTGGCTACTAGTGTCCTGTGGTGGCTACCAAGCGGAAGATGTACCCAATCACTATTCCCAGGGAAGGAGCCTTTGATGCCATTCAATTCATTGTGAGTGTAATAAAAAAGTACATTTGATTAAATTTCCAAGGCAATATTACATTATGTTCTGCTTATTTGCTTCATTTTAGACCTATCAGCTGGATCACAGAATTTTGTGTTGTAAACCAAATTGAGGAGAATAGATCCTTGCTATTTTCAAGTGGCCTTATTTTAAAATAGCTAAACTGAGTTGTACAATTGGCCGGCTCAAAAAACAAAACAAATCAACAACAAAGGTGTGCCACTAATAGAGTCAGATAGGGAAGCTTTTGGTTTAGGGTATCCTCATAGGGTTAAGTAGTTTAGGGTAGCATAAGAGTGATTTAGGATTAGGGAGGTGTAGATTTCTAGGGGCCACGCCCATGCTGTGTTTAGAGGAATTGGAACAACTGATAAAGGCTATGAGGGTCAGATCATAAACAATATTTCGGGTCAGTTTTAGTGAGCGTTAGAATAATCTACAATGTTTGCCATTGAACAGTATAAAATCCTATGAAACAGAAAGCAAAGGCAGTTACTAGAAACCCTAGTGCTGAAGAGAATGTAGCGGATATAACTCATGATAGCTGCCACTGGTAAGAATGAACTGCTATCATAGCAATTATATGTCTGTGCGGATATTCTAGATATTTCTGTTAAGTCTCACTAGTGAAAGACATCCAGAATAGATTGGTCTCACTGACTGCACTTTTGACACATATAATACTTAAATGTACATTTGATTGGACAAAATGGCTCATTAACTTATGTGCAAGACCTATAAAATTGGATATTTAAGAAAATTTGCACAAATTTAGATCTTGGGATTTGAGAATAGAAGACTTTGTAAAAATCCATATATATTACTGGAGGGTGAAAAATAAGGCAATTTTGACCCTAAAGACATTTCAAAGAAGAACAATTTAGGGCTCTTTACTAAACCTGGTTTTTATGAATTAATATGGAAAAACAAAAACCTGACATTATCACACATCTCCAACAAATTAACATGGTCCTATAACTTAAATAAAAGTTCCAGTTATTTCAAGAGCCTTCAACATTTTTGCAGGACAAGTCACACTAAAATGCTCACATACACAAGTATAAATTTTTTTTACAAAAAGGCATATACTGCAATTAGTGTACCCGACATACAGGTTCCCCTAGGGGTTCTACAATGTGCTAGGGTACATTTTCCAATTCATATACTACATGCATTGTGGAGAACACAAACTGTAGTTCTGACTAATTGAAATAATTCTACCTAATAATGTGTTTTCCTGGGCTAACATTACCCTTATACTTCGAACCTTATTTGAGGGTTTAGTCTCAATGCAAGAATGTGCCACCTACACAGTGAAACTGTATTTATATTAGAGCTTCTGCAGCCATCTTCTATTTGTTTCTTTCCGCATTACACAATATATCCTTTAGCAACTTTGTATCAGCCTTCTACTTTCTTTGGGCTAACTGTGGCTCCCTTGACCAACCTTTTAATATGAATGGTTGACTATACAACTATTATTCTACATCCTGTCAAGAGTGTTAAGGTTATTTTTGCTTTATTTCGATAAGAAGTTTACTGCAAAAGTTTATTGGCTCTTTCCATTCTTGGATGTTTAGTAAATATCGCTATTCACCAGTTTCTACCCCTGGACATGTTTGATACTCAAACTAATATATAGCTAACTAAAGACTAAATTTCATGTTCTAATTTTATTTTGGAGTAATTGTTTTACTGGTGTCCCTTTTGGGGTACACCTTCTGTATATATTGTGATTTGTTCTGTTGAAATGTCAATGAACAAGCACTGTAATTAGTTAAAAGTACAATTCTTGAGAGCTACAAGTTTGGTTACCACCATGACTCATGGTATAGGAGACTAAGGCCTTTTTAATTTTGACAGCGGCTATAATAAAACACTCAGTTACTGGGCCTTAAGGAATGTCAAAACATTATTATGGTCTCAACGTGATCGTAATAAAAATCATTGCAAACACTTTAAACGCAACCAGTTTTTCAACCTTCATGCAAAAATATAGGTGACAAGTTCACTTTTTGAAAAGACAGAACTTAAAGGATCACTATAGGGTCAGGAACACAAACATGTATTCCTGACCCTAGAGTGTTAAAACCACCATCTAACACCCCTGGTCCCCTCATGCCTCCATAAATATAACAAAATCTTACTTGCATTCAAGCCTGAAGCTGTAACTCTGCATGATGTTTGACTCAGAAAAACAAGCAGTCTGCTGACATCATCAGAAGTGATCCAATCACAGTGCTTCCCCATAGGATTGGCTGAGACTGACAAAGAGGCAGAGCCAGCATGATTCAAACACAGCCCTGGCATAGAGATGAATTGATTCAATGAATCTCTCTGAGGAAAGTTCAGTGTCTGCATGCAGAGGGAGGAGACACTGAATGTTTGGAGGCATTTTAGGCAGCCATGACCTAGGAAGGATTTCTAACAGCCATCTAAGGAGTGGCCAGTGAAGTTATCACTAGACTGTAATGCAAACACTGCATTTACTCTGAAAAGTCAGTGTTTACAGCAAAAAGCCTGAAGGTAATGATTCTACTCACCAGAACAAATTCAATAAGCTGTAGTTGTTCTGGTGACTATAGTGTCCCTTTAAAACAAACAAACAAAAAACAACAACATATTTTAAAGATCAAACTGAATTTGAGAAACACAGGTTTCTGATGTTTTTACCATGAAAGAATGTTAGTCTGCTAAACTTGCAGAATACAAACTTGTGAATAATTTGACTAACAAAACTAAATGAAAAATGTAAAAAAGAGAAATACCTAATCATGTATTTGAAAATGAGCCACACCGTTTCCCCAAGTTTAAAAAAATATATCTTTTGCAGTTCTACATTCAATGAAAAATGAAATATATGTATACAGAGAGCTTAGTAGTTTGTGAATTTATTGTTATTAGGTTTACTGACACTTACGTAAATCTTTCACTTCACATAAAGTTCACTTGTATGCACCCTTATTACCGTTGTGTAGAATCTACTGAAACTGCTAATGCTTTCTAATAAGATGACAGTCATACAAACTATAAATGTGTCATGTACTTGTGCAGTCTGGCAAATTAGTGTATTTTCTCCACTTGTAATTTAGTTCTCTATTCTCTTGGTACTACACTTACCTATATCTGGTTGATAGTTAAACAATCTACTGAACCTCCCCCCCACAAAATGTTGTGATTATATTTAATATGTAGTCACTTATACGTCGCCAGGCATTCATAAATGTTACAAATAGAATAATCTTAGCTACTCGTTTTAACTAGAGATATGCTTAGTTGAAACGGAGCTCACATAATTAATAAAGCATTGGTTTCATAATAGATAAGAAGAACTGTAAATTCTAAATCTTAGAAAAGTGTTCTCTACCAAGTGTCCTCATGGCTTGTGATCACTTAAGCTGCAATCTTTTGCAAAATGTATTTAAACATCATATGTTTAACACCCTACAGTGGTTAAATCGAGAAAGAAAACAAACACAGCATAAATAGAACAGTCTATTAAAATGGCAACCATTGGTTGAATGTCATCTAAAACCATTCTGTAATTTTATTGATTTTTGTGGATTTCACATATTTTGTACAGCAAACACTGTAGGCAATGAGAAGCTGCAGCACTACTGTTAAAATAGCAGCAAAAAAGTATCTTAGTTTCAGAAAATCTGGACAATAAATAGTCTGTCTCTTTGGATGTGAATGCTTAACATGAAGAATTGCCGCAGCTTCATAATGTGATTGCTATTTTACATAGCTTATACACAAAAATATATATGTAATCTTTTGTCTATATTTTATACAAATACAACAGTAGTTTGTGAATACATTGTAAGTACATTTACATAATAAGCAACACAACTTCCCATCTCTTGATAATTTTTTTTCTTTAAATGCAAGAAGGATACACAAAATTCAGTCTGGAATGCAAATATCTTCTATTCTGACTGTGAAACCATTATAAACTAAACTTTTTTTTTAAATTTATTTATTTTATATTTTTTATTGTTTAGTATTTGTGAGTCCAAATAGGATTTCCCACTAAAATCAGGAAAAAAAAAAAGTAAAAAACAAAAACACAACACGAGTCAGAAGCACATCTATTTTGAATACTTTCTCATGTTATGTAGACAGGAGAGGGCTTCTCAATATACAACGTGATCTTCATTCCACACTCTATATTATGCCCATTTTCATTAATTGTATGTTTACATGACAAACTAAAGCTGGGTGTGATATAGGAAAAAAAAAATAAAAAAAAAAATGAATGGCATATCCGCGACCTTTCCTTTATTGGCAAGTGCATATTAATACGCTGTGGTGTTGTACAAAGTTCAATAGAGGCAAACTAAATCACAGTATAAAAATATATCATACAACTATTGCTATAATAAAACAGTCTTTTTCTATGGGTAAAGATACATATGTAAGTGACAAGAGGTTGTAGCACCATGAGAGAATTATATCCCAAATTACATTAGCAGCATGATGATCCAAAAGAACAATATTGCAGGAGTGTTTTTGAAAACCTAGGATAAAAACATTCATTCATTGACTGACTATACCACTGAAGCTTATACAGAAAATGTTTACATAGGATGAGTGACCACATAATCACTTCCATGGCTAGGTAACTTATCAAAAGATACTGACTTTCCATGTAGTAAGATATTCTTTAACGTACACAATGACCATCCAAAATACAGTTTTCCCAGTGATAATATTGTGGCACTTGAGGAGTGAGCATTTTGTATTTTGATATACAGCCGATTATATACATATATATGTACCTGTAAATATATTACACATGCACATATTGCTAGGCTGAGTGTGTATATGCATATGGCCATTTGTACGTTATATTTATATCAAATCTACACAAAATGCTAATTTTTTTTTTTTAAAAAGAAAAGAAAAAAACTACTGTTTGGAACATCACTAAAAAGGCAGCAAGTCTTGATTCTTGTAAACCTATTCAATAAACATTGGAACTTTTAACTTAGAATCCTTTGCAATACTCCACAAATGTGTCTGGCAGCAAAGTGTTAAAACAGAGACACTGATTTTGTGCAATATAGCAAACTGACAAGCAAAAACTGTAAATAAAGATGTACCTGTTTTAAACTCTTATTTATCATTTTTGTACAAAAAAGTATTATTAACCAAGGTCTACAAATCGATCATCTAATGGTACATGAAACATGTAAAGTAAGATTGTATGATCAGCATTACCTTATTTTTTTCATAAAAGGTTCAATTGCTTTTAAAAGTGCTATATTCTTGTAATGTGTAAAAGTCAACCAAGCTTAATTTTGCAAAATATTGGCCTCTGACACACATTTAGCTAACTAGGCAAACAATCCTGATAGAAACAAAAAAATTAAAAAATTTAAAATGCTATAAACATTCATAATCTTAATGCAATGAATCCGCTCTGGCTCATTATCAGTCAGCATAGGTTTCTTTATAAAATAAAATACAAAAACAATTGTACTGGCTAAACTGAATATACTCAACACAAGAGGAGTGAGACATGACATATAAATACAGGAAATAAATGCATGTTGCAAAGAAACTGGTTAGAAAGGCTGCAAAAAACAAAACAAAACAATAATTCTAAACCGAGAAAAAAAGAATCAGAGTTCTGTGATACTCTGAAAAGTGTCACACTAAACGACTGTCCACTGCGTGTGTCAGTTACTGGACAGGAGAATCTCAATATATGCAACAGGAAGTGGGGCTACTTAAGGCATTAAGAAAGTAACTGCTACTATATCTTAGAATAAGGGTAAGACAAATACAAAACTATAGCCTTTCTGAAGCCATGATGACCTACTGAGGTTCAACATATTGTCTTGATTTTGTCTTAAAAAGAAAATCTCCAAATAAAAACGCGAAAGTGTAATAAAGGGTGCTTGCGTTTGTGCATTATATGTATTTTATACATACATATTTTACACACATACACAAAGAAAACATAAAAATGTAAAATAACATTCTATATCCCATTATGAACTCAAACATATTATACTAAATTATAAATATATGGCACTTAAATTTATTAGAAAATCAAAATTTGAGGTGTGATTAAAGTGGACTCCAGCTTAAACATGGTGATTTCACAATTAAATTTTGTTCAAATATCAGGTGTAAATGTTTCTAGGTAGTCTAGCGTAAGAAAAGCACTTTTCCCCCCCCGCTATATAAATTTTTTGCTATATTTATTAAAACAATTTTATATGGGAATGAGAACAGTGGATAAAAGCCATCAAAAAAATGCTCTGGAACAAAACCAAAATAATTTTTTTTTTAAAATACATTAAAAAAAATTCAAAAATCAGAGAGCATGCTTTAAAATAAAATATGAATACGAGTATGAATATTTTGTAATATCCCCAAAATGGTTTTAAGCTAACTTAAATATTTTCAAATATTCCCTTCTGAATTTTGTGCTGTATTTGAGAAAAAAAAAATAGAAAGGCACTCGAACATTAGTTGTTCAATGAAAGCCAACAATTTGTTTCATAGAAACTATACGAAGCCGTAATAATCAGAGTTGAATGCATACATTTGAAATGCGCACAGATTGTTTAACCCTGATGAAAAGGAGGGGGGGGAAGCATTTTGTAAGTGTTAAAGGTACTTACTACATAATGCCATTAGAAGAAGAAAATACTGTTAGACACACAATATTTACAAAGTATAGAAAATATAGCTTTAGACTAACAAAATATAATGGGAATGGTAATTCCCCTTAATGCAGAGGCAGGCATCCTGTTTTCTCAGCAGCTATTTGACAATTCCAAGGAGATTTGCAGTCTCAGAACAGCTAGCTGGCAACTATTAGCCCCCCCCATGCTGTAATGTCTATTTATGCCTCTGCCATATTTTTTTTTAATCTAGTGTATATAATAACAAAATCTATATATATTAACCATGTAATTCTTCTTAGGTAATAGACTGACCCTTTCCTTAACGCATTAAGTTAGAAAACCATAAAGGGGCAGTTAGCTACTGTGTTAGTCAAAGTGGTGTAAGCAATATGCTTTTACTTAACTCCTAAGAGTCCTGTTTTGAAATCTTGGAAAGGGGGAAAAAAAACCAAACCAAGTATTTTGCAAGTGCTGGCAGCATCTATCTGTTGCTTGGCAGTACAACTCCACTACAACAGATATCCACAATAAAAAAAAAAAAAAATTACATAATTTACACTGGCTTATTGAAGGCACAAATTGAGTTAATTACTCCTAGCCTGAGGCCATCTGCTATAGACTGCTATAGCAAGGGCAAACTAACTTGTGCTTAAGGCTTCTTTGCTTCTACAAAGGAGCATCACGCAAATGGGGTTAACAAATTATACACTAGAGAGATAAGATTATGCCAAACTGAAAAAAAAAATATATAGATTTCTATAGAAAGTGCTACCAATTTAGCTCATTTTAAAATTCCTGCATGATAAAATAGAACCACTAAGTAAGCCAAAATGCAAGAGTACATTTTAAATAAATGTTTGGCGCATACTGAATGTTCTACATTTAATTTCTGTAAAACATTTTCCAATAAAAACTGGAATATATATATATATATATATATATATATATATATATATATATATATATATATATATATATATATATATATATATATATATATATATATATATAAAGCACTGTACCTTGCACTCAGACTCCAATTCCCAAACCGGGTGCACTCCCAGGGCTCCAAGTATCCAACTGATAATATCAAAGGTTGCACTCACGGATTCATTAAAAAATTAACTTTTATTAAATCTTCCTAAAAAAAAAAAAAAATAGATGTTTCAGTCCTACTTGAGGACTTTCATTAGGATCATAATTCTGATGAAAGTCCTCAAGTAGGACTGAAACGTCGATTTTTTAAGGAAGATTTAATAAAAGTTAATTTTTTAATGAATCCATGAGTGCAACCTTTGATATATATATATATATATATATATATATATATATATATGTTTTGTTTTTTTTCTGAACAAAATAATAGTTCAGCCAATTATTTATAAAAGATAAGATTTTTGCAAATATATAAAAAATTTCTGCTAAATTCTGAGATAGAGATTTTCTCTTTCTTAAATCAAATCAGAACTTATAATGAATTTTATGTTTCACGTATCCATGAAGTCAATGTTTGAGCAATTTAAATACTTTCCCTACCAGGCTGCGGAAAATGCATGTTGACTAAAAAGAAAGAATCTATAAAACCCAACCTTAAACCATTAAGAAAATACATTTATAAAAAACGTGAACAGCTAAAAATTTACTGGCTTAATGAGATTGTTATTGTATAAACTATTAGAGGTGTTTCAAAGTCTTTTGTTGGCACTAAGAGATATATATATATATATATATATATATATATATATAAAAATAAAAAAAAGCTAAGGAAATCTCTTATTTATTCCTATTGGAAAGCTTGATGAAATCTTGGCAATGTGGTGGTGGTATTTAAACTGCTTGTGAAAGCGGAGGACAATGAGTGTAGAGAACCAAAACACATGTTGTTATTGCTAGGGTCTTGAGTATCCTGTGGTTGTGGTGCGAGCTGTGCCATTGAAGAATGGGGATCCTCTTGAGAATAGCCCATCCCTAAATGTCCTACCGATACAGGAACATTGTATGGTGGACCATTGGAAGGTATGAAGTTGAACAACTGATTAAAGTCTAATGAAGATGGATTAAGAGGTTCACTAATAGAAGCAGAACTTTTCGATAAGGGTACTCCATCAGTGCAATCAGCTAATGGCACTACTTGAGGATCTAATCCTAATTTTGAGGAGGAAGATGGGGAATCTTGGGAGGAGGGTGGCATGCCACTTTGCAATTCCATTAAGTAACTTTCAATTTCCCCTTTCAACGGCTGATCTTTGTCAGACAACGACAATGAGTATGAGGTAGAATTGAGTGGGTATTTCAGAGAAAGTTGGTGAGAAGGATGGACAGGGTCCATGTCTAGCGGGCACGTTATACCCAAAGGCAATGACGAAGCAACCATTTGGTGAGTAGTTGAGGAACTCTGCATGGACTGAATTTGTGTGTTGTAGAGATTCAACTGCAAACTGTTTGTAAATGGCTTGGATGTCAACTCATTGGTAGATAGAGACATCACGGGAAGAAGCTCATCTTTAATTGGAACACTGCAGGTAAAGTGATCTAGGAGGTCCATGGGTTCAGTTTTAACTTTTAGCAGTTCTTGATTATGACTTTTCTTCATATGACGAGTTAGATGATCCTTACGTCCAAACCTTTGTGCACAATACTGACAAAGGAAGTCTTTTCTCCCAGTGTGCACTACCATGTGTCTGCGGACATCTTTCCGTGTGTAAAAGCGCCGATCACAATGCTCACATTGGTGTTTCTTCTCCTTAACACCACTGGAAGATTTGCCTGCATGGGTCTTTAGGTGTTCCAAGAGGACCGTTGTGCTTTCGAAAGTCTGCAAGCAAACTTTACAGGTAAGATCTCCACTTGTTGCAGCATGCAACGCCAAATGACGTTTAAATCCAAGTTTGGTGTTGTAATTTTTCCCGCATTCGTCACACTTGAATGCCTCTTTATTCGGATCATGAGTATGAAGGTGATTCTTTAGGTGATCTTTTCGGTGAAACATTTTCTCACAATAATTACACTTGTGGGTTTTCTCTGGAGAATGAGTAGCCATATGCCTAAATACAGATAATCCAATAAGTAATAATTTTAACCAAAAAAATGGCAATGCACAATTTTCAAAATATATTAAGGAGAAAACACAAAAGTACACATTATACAAACACAAAACTTTTTGGAACACATCACATTTACATCAACCAACGAGACCTATATACATTTTAGAACATCAGCCTGGGGAGAAATGTAAAATTGATAGGTTAAGTCAATAAAAGTCAAGCAGAACATGGTTGCATTGTTGTACTGACATTGGTAAAATAACAAACATTGGTAACAAAAATAAATAAAATAAAAAAACAGTTAATTTGTATTTGAAATTCACAATCATCAAAAATAACGAAAGCATTAATAAGCAGGGATAACACTGTGTGATTTCAATCAAAATATACACAAATGTTTACAAATCCATGTACTACCCACTTCAGATTGTAAAATGTAGCCCTTCAACAATTTGCATTGAAATGGTCATAAAACCGGCAGATAAAGTCTACCATACTATTAGGGGGGGGAAGGGAACCCGCAAAAAAACAAAAAAAAAAAAACTAAATCTCAGGAAGCTATAATGATACAGTGGAATAGGTCTGCTGGATCACGTGACTCTAAAAAAGAAACCCCCACCTCCCCACCCTTCCCACTAAATTTACATAACCTATGCAGATTAAACTGGTTCTGTCGCCTTCCCAAATGCTCACCTAACTGGAGGCATCCATCTTGGCCTGACTTGCATGATAAATTCTCCCCATTAATTTATTCCACCACTTTGATTGAAGTGGATATGTCCTGGTAGCTTTAGAAGGAAGGAGTGAAAAGGGAGGTAAGCTCAGATCAGATCACAAATGCAGAATTACCAACAATATAAGTTTTGCCACAAAGATGTATCAGAGTCTTGAGAAACAAAAATGTCTCTAATACATCCAAATAAGTGCATGGATTGTCCAAGCACTTGGTTTAGTTGGCTTTTAAAAATAATTTTATTTAGCATAAAGCTCAAAGGTAAGAGCCCAATGTTTTAAAATGTTCTTTAAAAAAACAACAACAGATTAAAAGACAAATACATATGCAAGAACACATATGTGACTATAATGGCTTGGAAGCCTAGTTCCTGCTACCAATAGCATCAAGGCATGCACAGCACCACTCGTGAACCATAAATATTTATAATGAGATTTGCAACATACATTTGTGAACTAAAAAGCATCTAATACTCTATACTGACATACTAGCAATATACTCCTAAACACGAACAAAAAGTTTCTGAAACGGTCTACCCAGACAGCTCCAAATTACATATGATTTACATATGTTAAGTGAAAAAGTGAATCACCATAATAACGAATTATGGTGTTCGTATGACTTCTTTATGCTTTATAGAATTGTAAGGGGAAGGAAGCTGGTTTAGAAAAGCTAATCAGCTCCTTATTTTAACCTGTGGTGCACAGTCTGCCCAGTCAAGTGGGTTGTGTACATCCCCAACCCTGACACTATTAGCTCAGCATTGAATTGGGGGATATCCAGTATGTACTGTAAAAATCATTGTGTGAATGATTTCTGCCCCTTTAATTAAACTGAAAAATCAGTGAGTAAACTGTTAGGGTGTGCGGGATTTTTACTTTATGTGAAATGGAAGGCAACAACTATACAGTTTTTACGGTTTCTCCCTCCCTCCCCAGCCCACACTTGGCTTCCTCTAGGAGCTTCCATTCTTCTGAGCTAAATCCTGCTGGAAGGTCAGCTCATTGGTGAATGTCAGCTGATACATTTTAGCTAATGAGCTAAGCCCTACTTCGTCAGGGTTAACTCATGGCTAAGAGCTTCAAGCTGAGAGATGGCTGCATTGGAGGGAGAGGTCAGTGCCTGGTATATCCCAAGTAAGTAGTCAGACCATTACTAATTTTACTACCTACATGGATGGTCGGGGGATGCTAGGGCACTTTTGGTGTGCTGTAGTGTTCCTTTTATACACTACTACCTATCCAAATAAGTCTTCCTTCATCAATAGATGCACTAGGCTGTACTCTAAGCACTGGCACACTCACAAACATCATATTATATTCAAGTTTGGGAGTGTGTCACTGCTTAGACAACAGTCTAGTGTGCTTAATGGTGAAGGAAGACTTTTTATTTTAGGTAAAAGTAATAAAGGAACACTCCAAACACCATAACCACATCACACTGTGCTAGTGGTTATGGTACAAAGAGTGCTCCGTGACTCAACCATCCACATAAGTAGTAAGTCCATTTAGTAACAATATGCCTTCTTAACTGGGGTCCGCCAGGTACTGTACCCTGCCTCCACTGAAGCATCCACTCAGCCTGAAGTGCTCTACCAACCCAGGAAAAGCAGGGCTTAGGGCATTAGCTGAAAGCTATCAGCTGACTATCTCAACAAATGAGCATACCTGTCTGGCATGGCTTAATTCAGGAGAGCCAACAGTAGCTCCTAGCAAAATCTTCCCGGCTCTTGATTCATGCTAAAAGGAGGTGGTGTACGGCACGCGGCAAACTCCAATTAAAAAGTCAAACCGTTACAAGAGAAATAACTAATCAACTAATCTATAAACTATACTTGCACAGTAAACACAATTACAGAAAGTCTCTTAGTAAAGGGACTAAGATTTTTAAAAACTGAGGGAATAATAGCTGAAATCCCAAAGTACATAGGTTTGGTTATGCCACTTACAGAAATCCACCTGTATAAGTTAATCATTCCCATAATTAACAGCTACTATTTCCATTCTCACTCTATTTAAGACTAACATTAAAGATGTGACCACTGCACCAACCGTACACGAGTAGCAGATTCAATTTGAGGTGGTGTCCCTCTTACTGCTGCAAACATCAACACAATTACTCATGAGAAGAAAATATGCATTTCCATCTCCTTGAAAGAGAATGAAGATCATCAGAACTAAACTGGCCCACTATTTAAAATAAAGCAAACTTCTTCCTCTAGTTCCACCAGAAAAGGCTGGTGTTTGTGCCAAATGACAGGAAAAGGGTGAGCTGCTGAGTTGTTCCCTGGTCCATCCCCAGGACCACCACAAGTGCAGACAATACCACAAACTGCTGCCTGTTCCCCCTTTAGATTCACCACATTCACCTGTTTTTTTTCAGTAGCACATCAATACCTAGTTCTCTGCTTTTCCAACACCCATGATTTATCCAAAGAAAGCATGACAATAAATACATTTTAACACTACTATTAGCACCACCAGAAAGATGACCAACCATAGAAGCTCACCCTCAAGTGCATCCGATGTGGAAACTGTGCCGCAAAGTAATAGAACATGACTGTATGATCTAGAGCATGAAACAAACAATTCTGACAAGAATCTTATTAGCTTTCTGACTGGCAAATGAAAATCAGACTACGATCCACAGTACATAGAGATATATATATAAGTTAGGAGAAGTGAACAGCCTAGAATTTTTTCTCCAGCCAGTTGGCCACAACATCCAATGTACACATTGGTAGATCAAAGTGTGTGACTTATTGCTAGTCTTCATTGTGGTGGTATGAATAAGACATGCCATCCTCATAAACTACTCTTAAAGTGCCTCATTGCCAAAGCAGAAAGCGAAGAATACGTTCAACCTCTTGGACACAAGACGGCATCTACCCATACGTGCAGATCATACTGTATTAAT